ACTGTCGCTTCAAGGTGTTGCGAGCAGATTCAGGCATAGAGTGTGAGGATAGACCTCAAATTGGTCTAACTCAAATTCTTGGGTTCTCTGATATTTCTCTGGGTTTAGTCACTACGAATATTTGTGGAGCTTTAGAAGCAGTTTCTATGTGGCATTCAACATGAAATTTCCTTGTCTGGAATGTGCTTGGAATAGTATTTCAAAGGACAGATAGAAGTTTTCACTTAAAATACTTGCAATGCAGCCTAGAGTCCTGCAGCCTTCAAGAGGAGTGTCTGTGACAGAAATCTGTGCAGGGTGCCCAGGGACAAAAAGAGGGAGGAAGCCAGGATGGGGGATGGAGTGGGTAGAAGAGAGCGGTTGGAGGATGGGGACGATAGTCTCTGTTCTTATTTATGGCCAGCTCTCTCTCCCCTACTATAATATATGCTTCTTGAAGGCAGGGACTTTATAAATATTCATCTCTGTGTTCCCAGCACTATTTTCTCTCTCCAGCACAGAAAGGGGACTTGCTAAGTGCCCACTGAGCTCCAGGCCTGGCTGAGCAGCCCTGAAATCTGAGGCACCAGGCAGCTGCTTTCTTCTCCCCTCCTGTTTCCTCATCCGCCCTGTGGGGAGGTAATGATACCGAGTTACTGCACACACCAGCTTGTTCCAGGGTTGAAAGATAGCAAATGCGGGGAGGTGTCAGCTGAGGCCATGGAGCCGATGTCCCCGGAGTCCTCAGTCCATGGGTCCCAGCAGGCACACGAGCCAGAATGTGAATCCAGCTGTCTGTCCGGGATTCCCCAGACCGACCATGCCGGGTGCTGAAGGGACAGCTCCCAGAACAGGGAGGGGTGGGGGGCGCGGCGCCAGGCGCCGAGGCTCCTCACTGAGGACCCCACCCAGCCCGATGCTGCCTGTCGGGACTCGCCCGCCGAGCGAGTCCGCAGCTGGCGATTCTGCCCGTCCAGAAAGAGCAGATGGGACCGCCAGGTCCCCGGAGGCTCTTAGGACCCTCTGCCTGACAACAATCTTGGAGAAATGAGGGACGGTGTCTCAGGGAGGGTATGGAGCCTGGCCTTGAAGAGGAGTAGAGAGGAGCCCCAGCAGAGCGACCCCCACGCCCCCACGATCCCACACCCTCCACCTGGCCCTAGTCAGAGGAAGCAGGGACTGCCAGGCTGCGAGCTCCTGGGTCAGCCAGGGTAGGCTGTACCCGGGGTCGTAGGAGGTGATCCCTGAATGGGGAACGTTTGTCTCTTTGGGTTACTGACAGGAGCGTGTGTGCATGTGTGTGTGTGTGCTGACCTGTCTCTTTGTGTGTCTTACTCTGGAGGTTTTCTATTTAAGCCTCCGACTTCCCGTGCGTCTAGTGTGAATTCTCGTGTGGGCGTCCTGTCGGGGTTTATGAGCGCACCTGTGTGGAGTCGCCTCGTGAGTTCGCCCTTGGTTTGAGCGTGTGAAAATCTCTTTGTTGCGTGGGTGTCGCAGGAATGAGCATCCTGTACTTGTGTGAGTCACTGATTCGCGTGCATGTCTGTCCGCGTGAACGTGGTCCCAGCGTGTCCCTCTTGCCGCGCTGTATGTTCTTCCTGGCGCTTAGCACTGCCTGGTACATTATGCGGTTTGTCTCCTCCCTTCCCAGAATGTCGGCGCCCCGAGGGCAGGACTTGCTTCATTTTGTTCACGGCGCTGTCCCCAGCCCCGACGACGTGCTGGGCACCAGCGGGCACCCGATGTAATAGCGTGGAGTGAATGAAAGCTGCGTCCAATGTACGAGTGTCTCTCCGCTTGCGCAGTTAATCTCGGCGTGATGCTGTGTACGCGCGGTGTTGAGTGACTACGAGAATTTCTGGTGTATGTGTGTGTAGTTGATTTATAGTATGTACGAGCAGTGTGTGTGTGCGCAAAATTATCTATGGTATGCATAAATGAGCCTGTGTGTCTCGGAAGCGTGTGTGTAATCGACTCTCGTGTGTGTGCCAGCATGTTTGTGCGTCTCTCACGTGTTTGTACGGCGTAATTGTCTGGTGTGCTAATACCAACCTGTGTGTGCCTCTGGAGCGTGTGTGTGTGAGCATGTGTGTGCATGCACGAGGCTCCCACCCCTCCTCTCCTCGCGCCCTGCGCTGGGCCTGGGGGCGGGGAGCGGGGGTGCGGCGAGGGCACTGCGGTTCAGCTGCCCGCCCTCGGCGCTGCGGCTCCGACACGTCATCGTCCCTCCCCGCCCCCGCGGAGGTCCCCGCCTCCCGGTCCTTTGTAGCTGGCCGCTGCGCTCGGCCGACGGCCGCCCGGAGGCCCCGCCCCGGCCCGCCCCGGCCCCGCCTCGCGCCCCGCCCCGCCCCTCCCCGGGCCGCAGTCGCGCCTGGGCCGCCGCGGGCCCGCACCGAGCGCGGAGCGCGGCGCACGGCGGTGGCTAGGGCCACGGGCGGGCGGGAGCGCGTGCGGGCGGCCGGCCTTGGACCGGGATGGCGGACCGGCGGCGCGCGTGGAACACGGAGGACGACCTGCCCGTGTACCTGGCGCGGCCGGGCAGCGCGGCGCAGACCCCGCGCCAGAAGTACGGCGGCATGTTCGCCGCGGTGGAGGGCGCCTACGAGAACAAGACCATCGACTTCGACGCGTACAGCGTGGGCCGCCGCGGCTCGGCGCGCACGCCGCGCAGTGCTGGCCGGCTCGACGCGGTCGGCCTGCCGGGGCCCGGCGGCAGCGAGGACACCGCCAGCGACGTGAGCGAGCCCTCGGGCTCCGCCGTCAGCTCTCCAGGGGAGCGCGATGAGCGGCCGCCCGCACTGCGCATCCGCTGCCCCGCGCCCCGCGACCTGCCACTCGGCCGGGACAATGGCCAGGTACGCGCGCGGACCGGACGGGGGGCGGGGCACTCGGGGCCGCTGGGCATGGGGCAGCCCGAGGGCAGTATCCTGGCCTGAGTGCTGAGGCCGCTGCCACCAGACTTGCGAGAGCTACGAAAGGCCCCTCCCCCATCCCATCATACAAGAGGTTCGGAGAGGTTGTGCGACTCGGTCAGGGTCGGCCAGCATAGTCTTTGAGACTCCTATGGGTCCTCGCTGCTTTTCTGCAGTAAGGGAAGCGAGGTTCTGAGAAGGGAAGTAAGTTGGCTAAAGCCGCCACATGGCCCCTTAAAACGTGAAGGGATCTCTGGGGTGAATTGAATCCAGGGATCCCCATTCTCTGCTTTATGAAAAGGAGGGGAGCTCCATTCTGCATTCGTCCATTCATCTATTCACTCACGAATTAGCAATTATAGAGCACCCACTGTGTACCGGGAGCTTGGAGAGGTTCAGTGAAACGCCTGTGGTCACACAGCTTAGAGCTGAGAGGAGCTTTCCCTGAGTGCTCCCTCTATGCTTTCCGGGGAAGGATTTGGTTGAAGATTTATTTAGATCCTTGGGCAGTTAGAACAGGAAACCGCTCCCCCCACCACCGACCTCTTTGGGGGACGCTCCTGAGTCCACGGCACGACGCCAGCGTGCTCACTTCACAGAGCAAGTTGGAGGTAGAGTGGGGATTTGAACCAGGGTCTCCAGCTTCCAAGACTTGGAGATTTTTTTCCCCCTAAAAGTCGGGGAGCATCAGGGAGAGGGAACGACAGGCCTTGGGCCCTACGGCTCTTCTCCCTTGAACTGGAAGTCACCAAGGCAGTGGGGGAAGACGGATGGATAGAAGGCACAGCTTTGGAATGTGTGGGTGGGTCAGGGCCAGGTGCCTGGAAAACAGAAGCGGGATCCCCCTAGGGCCTGCTGGCTGTCTGCTTAGCCCAGACCTTGGTGTCTGAGCGCTGCTGCGGTCCCAGATCCCCGGTAGGCACTGGGATCCCGGCTCAGCACCCCGTGTCCCCACCCCGGGCCAAAGTGGGCGACCGATTCCTTGTGAGAATTAAATCCGTTCATGCCGGTAGGTAGTGAGCATTCAATAAATGTTCGTTGTTGAGTTTTATTATCATCATTTTTATTAATCCTTTTTCCCTTAAGTGATATGAGACGCATAAAGTGAGCCGCGAGGAGGCAGAGCTTGATCCCGACAGAGACCCAAAAGGGCTTCCTGGAGGAGTGGGGGCTGGGTCGGCCTGTGGCTGCTAACGCAGCAGTGGGTCTCTTCCTGTCCCCATCCCCTCGCCAGAGGCTTTCTGTCCCCATAACTCGGGAACTCTCCATGGTCCTGAATCTGGCGCCCCGCGAGGAGGGTGTGTGCGGTGGGGGCGGGGGAGAAGGAGATACCGAGAGCGTCCCGTCTCCTTTTCCTACCCCTTCCTTGTCTCCCTCTGCCCACCTCCTTCCCTGATGGCCGACCTCTCTTGGGATCCAGGCTTCCGAGCCCGAGCGGGAGACTTCAGGGCTGCGGACAGAAAAGCCGGGGCCAGTAGCGGGGAACCCTGGTTTTCAGCCAAGGCACTTGGCCCTCTTGAGCCTCAGCTTCTCCATCTGTGAAATGGTGGGCATTCTTCTCCCAGCCTCCCTCAAGGCGTGCTGGAGTAGCAGGGAGGCGAAAGCGCTTTGTGCAAGGCCGGGAGCTGTCTGGAAGCGTGTCCCCAGTGGCGCTGCGGTCAATGTCACCATCGCCAGTGTTAGTCCCGGGCTCTGCCTGGGCCTGCTCCGCAGCCGCGCCTTGGCACTGGGGATGCTAGTCGCCTCACCTCGCCCACCCCTCCTTCTTCTCCCCCTCTGGCCCTCTCGCCTCTTTCTCCATCGCTTCTCGGGGACTGGACAAAAGGCGGCGCTTCGGCGCCCCGAAGGGCTCGCGGTCTCCCTTGGGGGTGGGGGGTGGGAAGCGTTTTAGTGTCTGCAGACCGAGCGGCCACGGGGCTCGAGTTCTGGGGCGGGCCTCGCTGCTGCTGCGCTCTGCAGCCGGGGCCGGGGCCCTTCCCCCGCCCATAAAGCTCTTTCCTGGGGAGGGAGGAGGGGTTTCTGCGGCGCAGGCGCAGCATTTGCCGCGGCCCAGGGCTGAGCGACTGCGGCGCTTTGTACCCGGGAGGTCTGCTTGGGAGCAGCGGTCTGTTTGGCCAGTGCGGACTGGTGCCCCTCCCCCGGTAGCACGTGGTCTTGTCCCCAGTCCGGGAGCTTCCCTGTCCAGACTGACCCCTGGGGACGCCCTGGTGCGTAGAACATACGATTTAACAACGCTGAGGAAGGAAATGTAGGAGTCATGGGGAGGAGAGTGTCCCCACCAGCAATTTCCAGTCATCAACAAAGATTTAGGACCCCCGCTCAGAGCCGAGGCCGAATGAGTGTAGGGGAATGAGCTCTAGACAAGGCTGTAGGAACCTGGCTTCCAGATAGTGCCCTGCTGCAGCTAATATGCTTTGCACCTGGATATGGTTTCCCTCTGTAAGCCTCAATTTCCCACTTGTAAAATGGGAAGATTATGGTCTAGTGTTCCTGGAATACTAAGCTGCTTCTTTGTGGACCTACAACTTCGCTTACATTTTAAGGCTCAGGCATCTCTGGTCTCCTGTCCTGGACTGGGGGACTGGCTCCAGGTGGAGGTGGAGGTAAGGGCTTCAGGCCCCAACCTGCATGATGGGAGGGCTTTACCACACCTAGCATACCCTCCCCCGGGGGGGCATCTTGAAAGTAAAAAAAATAGGTCTTTTTACAGAGGCTGTGGGTTTGGATTTTGCAGGCAGAAAGTGAGGGGCAGGAAAGGTTGGCATCTTATTCTGCCTGGAGATTTGGGGCACCTGTCCAGTGTCGTGGGGGCTTGCTGGGGCTCCCCCCCCCCTTCTCCCTCTTCCCTCTTTCCTCTCCTATCATGAGGAAAAAAGGCTGTGTCCTGGCCTGCTGCCCTCTTCTCCACAGGGCAACATCTGGGTCATGGGTGCCGGGGCTGGTGTGCGCTCTCCACTGGGAGTCAGGATGTCCTATTCCTCCCCCTGTCCTCCAGTCCCCCTCTGTCCCGGGGGCTACGGCAACCTTGGTGCCAATGGTCTGACCCTCCAAGCAATCACTGTCTGTTAGGCAAGACTCTGGTGGTGACCTGGTGGCCCAATGCTAGACCGCTGTGTGATGAGAGAGCTGCTCAGGGGGTAGAGCCGGGCAGCCATTCATTAGGGCTTTGCCTCTCCAGGCCCTACTGCAGCTGCTCGGCCTGGCAGGGAAGGTCCTGCTGAGCCCTCAGGGAGGCTGGCTGAATGATGGAGGTGGGGAGGGTGGCAGGGAAAGGCTTTATCGAGAACCCATTGGAGATGAGCCTGGGAGAATGGGTAAACTTTTGTCTGGGGTAGGATATTCAGGGAGAGGGTATAGCTTGAATAAAAGCTTGGAGCTGGAGATGGAACGGGGGTTGGTCTATTCAGGAAATGGCGCGGCAGATGGACAAACGGAGGCTGTGGAACGAGAGGCCGGAGGGGGGCGATCGCTGAGCCTGATCTTGGAGGGCCTTGAACACTCAGCAGCTTGGGCGGATCCCCGGCACCCGGCCCACACCCCCCCTCCCCAGGCAGATGTTGGGGGAGGCCCGCAGACGCGGGGCCGCACACCTGTGGCGCTGCCCGCGGGCTCTGCCTGCGCATCCGAACACCGTCTCTGGCTTCTAAAAGAACCCTGAGGACCAGCCCCTCCCAAGCGCGAGAGCGAGGCCGGGGCCCAGCTGAGGGCGTGTGCGCAGGGCGGGGGTCGGCGGGGCTGGGCGGCTGGGGGGGCGGGGGGCGGAGTGGGGGGATCGGAAGGGAAGCGCTTCCTGGTTCGAGCCGAGAGGGGCGAATCCGGCTCTGCTCCGCGCCGCCGGGAGGAGCTGTCTGTCTGCAGCCCCCTCCTCCCGCCCTCGCCTCTCCCTCCTCCTCCCGCCCTCCTCCGAGCCGGGCGGTGCTGGCAGCCGGAGCGGCGGCGGCGGGCGGGCCGAACAGCCGGGGCAGCGAGCGTGTGGGCAGCGCGGGCGCCGAGCCTCCGTCCCTCTCTTCACCCTCCCGGGCCTTTGTCGCCGCGCCCGCGGAGAGCGGGACCGAGCGAGCGCCGGACAGAGCGAAAGACAGCCCCACAGGTCCACCGGCCGGGCGGAGGGCGCCAGAGGGGCCATGTCCTACCAGGGCAAGAAAAGCATTCCGCACATCACGGTAGGCCGGGCCCCAGCCCCTCTGCTCTTTGCGGAGGGGGCGGAGGGGAGTCGCCACCAGGGTCGGGATCCGTGGGGGGGACGGCAGGGGCGTCCCCCGAGGCTTCCTGCGTCGCGGCGGGTGGGGCGGGGCCGGTCTCGGCTTTGCAGCCCCCTTCCCCCAGCCTCTGGGGACAATGCGGAGGGGGAGGGAGAGCCCCGCTCGGCTGGGCGGGGCTGGAGCCTCGGGTCCCTCTCCCCTCGGGCTTGCAGCCCCCTCCCCGCCGCGGGATGTGCCAGAGGATGGCGTGGACAGGCAGGATGCGGAGCTGAACAAAAGAGGGAGGGGCGCGGGGTCCGAACCCCCTCCCTCCGGCCCTGGAGCGGAGCCTCCCGCGCGCGGCCTCCGCACTGTCCAGCTCTTGCACCTCGCGGTCGAGTTCCTTCCTGGCCAGAGGAAGGAGAAAGATCGACCACTGCCCCAACTCCCCGCCCGTACTGATGGGGTGGAAGTCTGGACCTAGAGACAGCGCCATGATGGAGGCGCCCCTCCCATTCCTCACCGCAGCTAAAAATAACCTGATGGGGCAGCGCTGGCGGCTGTGGCCCGGGAAGGGTTAACACCGGGGGGTGGGGACGGTAGTGGGGGCTGAGCATTCCGCTGTGTCCCTGGGTGTGGCCGGAAACAAAGGATCCCAGGTCTTTACGCTTTGTCTTGCGGTGGGAGCTGGGGGTCCATCCTTTCGGAGACCTGGCCTCCACCTCATTCCTTGCCTGGCGCCAGAGTGCACCCAAATCATTCTTGAGGGATGTGGACCACAGGTGCTCGGGAAGCCCTTGGTTCTTGGGTGGTGGAAGATGGCGATGGAGCAGCCAGGTGCTAGGGGGCGAGATTCTGGACTTGATGGAATCCTCCAGGGTGTTGCCTGAGGTCTGAGGACAGGAGACCCAGCATCCTCATTTACCCAGAATCCAGGCTCAGGGACCGCCTCAGGGCACCTGCAGGAGGGTAGCCTTGGGTAGGCAGAGGGAGCCAACACTTCCCTCTCACCTGCCCAGGTAATGCACACGGTGTTTTATTGAATCTGCTCAATAAATCCTTTGAGGGAGGCAGTGTCCACATAAAGCTCCCAGAGGCTGGAGCACTGGCTGGGGGTGCAGGTGAGAGGAAGATTGGGAGGGAACGGGGCCCCCTGCCTCCCCAGAACAGCCCTGCATCCTGCCCAACTCTGGGCTGAGTCTTCCCTTCCCTAGAAAACCCCTCCTGGGCCCAGCTTGAGGTCTTGCGCACAGACCTTGGCTGAGTTGCCATCCAGAGGAGTGACTCCCAAAGGTGGGGCCCACCCTCTACCCATCTCTAATCCCTGCCCTCTGAGCTGCAGGGGTAAGTGGCCAGTCTGCAGTTGGCTAGGAATCAATGGAAGGAATGTGGTTGTCCCAAGTTAGGCAGTGTGGGAGGAAAGTACCAGGATATTTGTATGAGCAGGTCCCTGCACTGGGACTCTAACCCTGCTCCCCAGGGGAACTGAGGCAGGTGATGGGGGTGGGGTGATGCAGTGACTGATGATTCGGGAGCCTTGGGCCCTTTGTGACTGTGGCGCCCGGCAGGTCTGTGCCCCTCTCAGAACTCTAGTTTCCAAAAGGAGGTTTAGCAAGATGGTCTTTGAGGCAGGTCTGTGGGAATGGTGCCCCCCGAGTTGTACGGTTCTCGTCTGCACAGCCGCAGCAGACGCCCTGCCCCCTGGCTGTGGCCCTCTGGAGTGGGGATGCACTGCCCAGGCTTTTGCACCAGACGGATCTGGGTGTACGTCTCTGCTCTGCCTCTTCTCTGAGCCTCCGTGCTGATATGCAATGTGGGCCTAACATTGGCTGCTTCAGAGGACCCTCGAGCGTCCAAGAGGACCCTGGTAAAGCACTCACTGTGTGTTAGGTGCCTAGTGAGGGCTTCAGAACTGCTATCTGATCCTGCTGCTTTAGTCCTTTGTGCGAAGCACCAAGTCAATCCGTGTGTAAAAGAGAATCAGATGGAGTGGTTCCAACAGCATCAACTGCATGGGGGGAGGGGGGGGGCGGGAGGGACACCGACAATCATGCTTAGCTCCTGGGAAAGAGGCCCTGGATGAAGCACTTGTGTTTCATTTGGTCCACGTAGCCCACGCTGGCCAGCAAGATTTGTGGTTTAGAGGAGAAACAACGGACCAGAGAGGACGGACTTGGATGGAGCTCCTTGTAGGACCCTCAGCTTCCTGAGGGTCTCTTGCTGATCACGTAGATGTTGTGACGGGAAGCAGAATGCCTTTACATGAATGGGAGGGCATTGTGGCTTTCCAAACGCTGCACCCTTAACTGTTCCATAGCACTCATCTGGTAAGTTAGTAATAATAATAAGCACCTGGTCTGTGCCGGGCAGGCGCTGGGTGCTAGGGAAAGTGGGAAGGAGATGGGCTGACCCTCGCCCTCCCAGAGTTTAGCAAGGACTGACATTTTGGCCTGAAATTGCAACGAAGCCTGGGGGGTGTGATAAGAGGAAGCACAGAAGGCTAGAGGAGAGCAGAGCAGGGACACCCACCTTGTCCTGGGAGGGGAGGGAGGGGGCTCCAGACGCAACGGAGTATGCCGTGCTGGAGAAACGGAAGGAAGCATTGTGGGAACCCAACCTCTGCTTCCAAGGGCGGTTTCTCCCTGCAGTTAGAGCAAATGCTGAAGACGGTTAGGACGTTTTTGGCGGCCACGGTGTGTGTGGCCTCTGGAGGGAACTGGGGGCTTGACAAAGGACCAAAATACAGCTCTCAGCTGCATCCCCGGGGCCCCACCTGCTTGATGTTGGGTCACTCTGTGCCCCTGTGAGCCTCGGCTTCCTCATCTGAATGGTGAGGATAGGGTCCCAGCTTCGCCAGTGAATTCAGAGATCAGAGTGTGAGAGAGTACTACCCCAGCAGAGGAGAAAGGGTGTCCCAGGCAGGCGCAGTGTGGACAAAGACAGGGGACAGCTGAATTCTGAGAACATTCTACTCAGGTTGATGATGAACCTGTGTCTTTTCCTCTTTTCTCCACCTCACCCTTCTTCTGAAATAATAGAGTAGCCTGGTAGAGAAGAGGGAAAAAGGAGAAACACTTGGCTTCAGCCCTAAGGATTGTTTAAAATATTTATAAAGCTGTCTTTCATGCGTGGCTTTTTAAAAACTTAATGGCACAGCTGGGGATTAACTTAGCCAAAGCTGTTATGGTGCGGGCTATGCGGTTGAGTTGAACATCCCGGGGGTGGCTCTGAGCAAACCAAGGCATGTGGCTTCATGGCCCTGGGAAGCTCTTGGCTCCCAGCAGAACCACCGAAGGGGGCTCCTATTCAATTGTGGGGGACACAAGAGTGTCTGTATTAGATCAAACAGTAAAGGTGAGCAGGGAAGAAAGAGGTCGTTAAATAAAAAATCACATCAGACTGAATTAGTTTCTCTAAGGTAC